TTTAGGATCTGGGGACTTTGACTCCTATCTGAGCAATGCATTGAAAGAAACTTCCTCAGTAAAGCGTGAGTAGTAAATTAAATAAACTATTAAAAGCAAACAATAACAATTAATATGCACCACCTACTCAAAATACATACTCAAGGAATAAAACAAGTGACCCGTATTTCACTTGTTCACATAAAATATGGTTATCATAAATTATATTATTTAAAAGAAAGTATGAATATTTAAAATTCTTTGTTTCTTTTGTGGGGAATACCAAACAATATGTTATAACTGATATAGCATTTTTACTTGGCTTGTCATAGCCCATACTGGTGTAACATGCCAGCAGTGGCCTCTGAAGACTGTCTTTCCATAGCTCAGAAAAGGTACTTTGAAGTAAATACAGGATTTGTTTCTCCTTTTAGATTTATTTTTAATAGTGGCTTTACTTAAAATGGTATCTGCATGTAATCTCTCAAATGCTAAGCTTTGTTACCAGCTTGTCTTTACATTTAAAAAAGATTTAAATAGTTTTTTAAAAATATGTGAATGCTTAGAGAGTAAAGCTGAGATTTCCCTTGACCCCTCCCCATCCTACTAAAACCCACTCTCATCCCAAGAAGGAACAGCTGATTAGTTTTCTATGTTGTTATGTACATTTATACACATACATAGTTTGTTTTGTTTTACATAACATATGTAGGGCTTTTTTATTTAGTTATATGCATATTATTTCACAACTTGTTATTTTTATTTAGTGTGAATCAAAGACCTGAGTGAATATATCTATCTATCTGTATTAGTTTCCTAGGGCTGCCATAACTAAGTATCACAAACCAGGTGGCTTAAAACCACAGAAATTCATTCTCTCAGAGTTCTGGAGGCCAGATGTCCAAAATCAAGGTATTGACAGGACCACACTCCTTCTGAAGGCTCAAGAGGAGGTTCTTGCCTCTCCCATAACCTGGTGGTGGTAGCAATCCTTGGTGTTCCTTGGTTTGCCACTGTGGCACTCCAATTTTTGCCTCCATCTTCACATGGCCTTCTCATTTCTGTGTATCTTTTCTTCTTCTGTTTCTTATAAGCACAGTTTTTGTTGGATTTAGAACTCACCTGGGTAATCCTGAGTGGTCTCATCTCCAGATCCTTAACTTAATTACATCTGCAAAGACCCTTTCTCCAAATAAGATCACATTCATGGGTTCTGAGGATTAGGACTTGGCTATATATTTTGGGGGTCACCATTCAACCTACTTCATTTTTACCTGCATCTCAGGCACAAACCTGTGCTTCATGGAGCTAGCATTCCAGTGATGTGGCTTTGGTCATGGCCAATGATGCCATCTCCTTACTGACAGACATGTGGTTTGTTTCCATTCTGTGTAATTACAAATAGGGCTTCAGTGAACATTTCTTGTCCATATCCTTTGTGCCCAAATACAAAGTTAATATTTTAATGAATTATTTCCAAAATGAATTTACCGTTATGTACTCCCATTGTATTGTTACAGGAGTACCTTTTATCCCAGACCCACACCATCACCAGATTTTAACAATCAAAAACATTTTACCAATATGATGGACAAAATATCATATTGCTTATTATACATTTCCCTGATTATACTAAGATGGAGCGTTATTTTATATATTTATTGGCCATTTGCATTTTCCTCTTGGTGAATTGATGGAATTGGTGAATTGTCTGTTCATATTCTTTCCCCATTTTTCTGCTGGGTTGTCCTTTTATTTTAATGGGTTTGTGGGATCCCTTTGTATATTCTAGATTGAGAAAGGCAGGAGCTCTGGAGCCAGACTTCCTGTCTGAGTCCTACCTCTGCAGGATTATTAACTATCACCTTGGGTGAGTCACCTGACTTCTGTGCTCTTCAGTTTCCTCATGTGTTACATGAGGCTAGTAATAATCCCTACCTCCTAGGATTATTGTAAGGATTAGATGAGCTGGCCCAAGTGAAGCACTCTGTACAGGTGAGTGTTCAGTGAGCGTGTGCCATTTTTGTTTTTCTTTGACTGATTTGATTGGAAGGACTGGGTCTCTCGTGTAAGAGTCAAGCATACATGAGGAATGATCACCTACTTAAATTGATTAACAGATTCAATGCAATTTCTGTCAAAACCCCAGCTAGAATTTTGCAGAAATAAAGATGCTGATCCTAAATTCAAAGGACCCAGAATAACTAAAAAAATCTTGCAAAAAAAGAAAAAGTTGGAGGACTCACACTTCTCAATTTCAGAACTTAATGCAAATCTGCAATAATCAAGTAGTATGGTATTGGCATAAGATAACCATAGAGCCCAATGGAATAGAATTGAGAGCCTAGAAATAAACCCTTGTATTTATGACCATTTGATTTTTTTTTTAATCCTCATCTGAGGATATTTTTTCCATTGATTTCTAGAGAGAGTATAAGGGAGGGAGGAGGGGAAGGGGAAGAACAAAAGAAAGAAGAGAGAGAGAAAGAAAAATCAACCAACCTGAGAGAGACACATCAATTGGTTGCCTCCTGCATTTGCCCCCTGACTAGGGACTGGTAACCTGCAACCGAGGTACATGCCCTTGACAGGAATCAAACCTGTGACCCTTCAGCCCACAAGCCAAGCTCTAACCACTGAGCAAAACCAACCAGGGCTATGACCATTTGATTTTTGACAAAGGTGTCAAAACTATTCAATGGGGGAAGGAATAATCTCTTCAATAAATGATGCTGGGAGAACTAGCTAGCCACATGTAAAAGAATGGACTCCTGCTTCACACCTTATACAAAAATTAATTCAAAATGGATCATATACCTAAAACTATAAATCTCTTAGAAGTTCATTTTTATGTATGCTGTGAGGCAAGATCTTAGGGTATTCTCAGATCTCTGCTGAGCATGCATTCAGGTAGTCTTTTAGATTCCTAGGAAAATAAATACACCTAATTTATTGGCAGTAATGGTTTTAATGAAATTGTTTAACATCTCCAAAAATAAACATGACCTAAAACAAAACAAAACAGAAAACTTGTTAAGTATAAACAGGCCACCAATTAGTAAATGTATTCATTTCCTGATGGAGGGCTTTTAAATATTTACATGACTTTTTCAGTCGTGTCTAGTGTGCATGAGGTCTTTGGTTGAATGACATCCTTCAAGACCACATCACTGCACTATCTTTTTGTTTTCTATTTTAGCTTACACTTCATGCAACTAAAATTTCAAAAACACAGGCCTGGCCCTCTCTCCTTGGTTCAATTATTTTTCTATTTATCAAAGTTAAATTCACAGTGTTCTTCTTTGTATATTATACATTCCTTTTTAAAAAAATTCCTCAACTACCCAGGTCAAGGTATTGTAAAAGACTTTCAGTCATTCATTCAACAATGTTTATTGAGTGCTTGCTTGTTGCCAGGCACTATTCCAGGGCCTGGGCTTACCATGTGGCCTAGGTCAGTTTCCTCATGAAGTTATTTTCTCTGGAAGGATACAGACAGTGCATAAAATAATTTCAGATATAACTTAGTACTCTAGAGTAAACATGGCAGGGTGATGGGACAGGGAAGGCCCAAGGATGCGGTAAGGGTAAGTAACTACTAGATCAAGTGGTAAAGGGCTCTCTGATGAAAGTTGACATGCATAGAGTTGGGTAATACCCTTTAAAGATTAGGTAAAAGAACCCTGTAGCAGAGAAGAACTGGGTTGGCTCTAGGGCTTGGAAGGTAGCCTATGAAGCCAGAAGTGTGAAGAATGTTAGAGAAAAGACAGAGAAGTTGGCACGGATAGATCAGATTAAGTCTCATAAGGCATAGTGACACTTTATTCTAAGTGCAAGAGGAAGCCCCTGGAGTATATTTTAAAACAGCATTATTGCCTGGCTGGTATGGCTCAGTGGTTGAGCATCGACCCATGAACGTGGAGGTCATGGTTCGATTCCCAGTCAGGGCACAAGCCTGGGTTGTGGGCTCAATCCCCAGAGTGCAGGAAGCAGCTGATCAATGACTCTCTTATCATTGATGTTTCTATCTCTCTCTCCCTCTCTCTTCCTCTCTCTGAAATCAATAAAAACATATTTTAAAAAAACAAACAAACAGAATTGGGTGTCCGAAAATAAACTCTTACATCTACTGTCAGTTGATTTTTTTAAAAAAATGCAAAAACAAGTATTTTTACACAAGAGCTATTTGAGTCATACAGATTTCAAGCTAATATTACATAATAATGGTTTTAGTAATGTAATTTCTCTTACATAAAGAGCCTCATTTATACAGGCAAATGGTACTTTCTTATTTTACAGGTGCAAGGTTATCACATGTGGTTCTCTTACCATAAAAATCTGTCCACTGGTGTGGTCTTTATATTGAGCTATGCATTAGTGTACACAAAGCCTTCTCAAAGAGTAAGTAAACATGATCATCTTAAGGGAAAGACTTTTCATGTTCTCAACTTTCATATATATTTCGCTAAAACTGAATTGTAGAATGCACATGGAGTTATGTTGATGGTCTACCTTCCAACCCCTCCTTCTTTGTAAACATAATAAACTGATGAGCAAAATAGATTCAGTGATATAGAAGCATGGAACAGATGGACCAATCTCACAGGGAAGGTGGGGGTGGGAGGGGAGGTGGGGAGAGGTTAACTAAAGAATTTATATGCATATATGCACAACCCATGGACACAGACAATAGTATGGTGAAGGCCTGGGGTGGGGAGTGGGTGCGGCATGAAAGGGGTAATGGGGAAAAAAGGAGACATCTGTAATATTTTCAACAATAAAAAAGAAAACAAAAAACTATTTATCAAAGTTAAATTCACATAATATAAAATTAGCCATTTCAAAGTGAATAATTCAGTAGCATTTTAAGACATTCACAGTGTTGTGCAATCACCCCCTCTATCCAGTTCCAAGTCATTTTCATCACTGAAAGTAAAATCCCTTACCCTTTAAGCAGTTTCTCCTCATTTGCCCCTTCCCCAGCCCTAGACAATCACCAGTCTACATTCTATATCAATTGATTTATTTACTCTGGATATTTCCAGTAAATAGTATCATGCAATATGTGACCTTTTGTCTCTCGCTT